ATACAGGCATATAGTTGAAGGATGGATGACAGAGACACTAAACTATAATTTTAAAGCCCAGAAGGCCCATGATGTTCAATTATTGGTAAACTTAATGCATATGTGATCATATTACAGTGGAATCACGATAATTCGTTATCAAAAGAGACTAGTAATGTTTTACGAATTTATGAGGTTTTTGAACTAGCGAGATTTGAGTTTACCTGACCAAGAAAAAAAATTAATATAAAAAATTTAAAATCACAAGAGATTGTCAACAACCAATTACGATTTACAAGAGGTTGAAGAAAAATTGCATTTCAAAAACCAAGTTGTGTGAAAACTTTTGGAATAAATGAAATTTTTCAAGTGACCAAGGGATTGTTCCAAATTATTGAGATTATCGAATTAATGAGGCACCAATTATCGCGATTCCACCGTATTTATATTTTCAAACAACCATGTGCTCACCCATACCCTATCAAACAAAATGATTTCAATCCTAATAAAAATTTAATCGAGTGCTTTTATAAGACCAAAAGAATTTTGTAATTGCAGGTGATTTTTTAGAAACTCGCTCAGTTTTTTGTAAGACAATTGAAAGGCAGTAGGCAATATGTGATTCGAATGATTTTGTTAATTCGGGCACGTAAGTCTTACAATAACGAGCTCCGGTGTCAACTTTCATGTTGTACATAAAGCTTTTTTTTGACAGAAAGCACTTGAGCATGTTCGAAATTGATATGCATATCATTTGGCTCGCGCTGCTTCACCACTTGCAATAGCGAAGTGAACAAAGCAATGGAGATACGAGATTCAAATCCTTGGGCTGCTGTTTTATTTTTTTTTTTTTTATATAATTTTCTTTAAAATTTTACTTATTTTATTTTTGCTTATTTGGGTTTTGTTTTTAGATTTTGTTAAAAAAAAATTAATTTCATTTCATTTAATTATAATTATTTAATTTAATTTCTTTTTTTTAATAAAATTCTTGTATTTGTTTAGTTCAATTTTCTCTTAATTTTTAGATTTTTTCTTTTAAAAACGATTTCTTTTAAACTTCATTTAGTTTTTAAAAACTTATTTTATTAATTTTTTCTATTGTTTCAATTTAAGCTTTTATTTTTATAATTTCATTTTCTTTCGGTTTTAGAAAATTGATTGCTAAAATACAAACCGATTAACGCTCAGACGTTCTCGTTAGCAAGTCTTTCAAGGAACGAATTTCCGCTATCCTTGTCAAATTTGGTTGGTGAGGTGAGAGGGAAATGTTGCAGAAAAACATGAATGGGGCGGCCAGTGGGCGAAATTTCTAAGAGCTTGGTTTGACTTAAGCACCATTCAAAACGTGAAGGGGGACACGAAATATTGAATGTTAATAAAGTTAAGTGAATTAGCAGAAAAGTCCAATTGAGTTTCAAAGCTAAGTGAAGCAGAGATAAATAAGAAATGTTGAAAATGTGAAGAATTGAAGAAAAACAAGACATTTGATATACAAATGTATGTATGTACATAAATACATATGTACATATGTTTATGTGAGTAATAATTGTTTGAGTATTGAATTTCCAATTAATAGCCGGTGGCCATTAAGCAAAAAAATATCTAGTAGATACGAGTCAATAAAATAAAAAAAAGCTATATCTATAAACATACATACATAATCACATATACAGATAAATAGTGGGTAGTAGTTGCAGTCAAATGCTTGAAGGAATATGCGCAGCTCTTGGTGCGGCTCACTATGAAGTTCATACTTAGGTGGCCAGTAAATACTATATATGAAGAATAGCTGCTGCAATTACTGAATTGAATTATTTGTGCAATTAATTGAATGCAGCTAATTAAATTAATCAAAATTAAATAAGAAGTAAAAGTCACTCTGGCAATACTCGGAACTCCTTTATTATTACTGTGATTGATGGTTTGTTTGATATACGGAATGGTGACGCTACTTAAGTTAACCCATGGTATCAGCTTACGGTCGGTCTCGAAAAAATGAAAATTGACGTCGTAGATTCGGCGAAACATGTACTTCCAGAATGAAGCAGTAGGAAAATCCCAAGCTTATGCAGACCCTGCCTGTTTACAAGGTCCCTCACTTTTGTATGGCCATGTAAGGCCAATGCTCATAAATTTAATCGCTAATACAACTCAGAGGTATTAGAACCTCTTTGCCACACAAACACCTAGGACCCAGCCTCTTTGGTCTTGTTACTCAGACAATGCGTTGCCGTTAATGCTGATAGGTCTCTGCTTCTAGATCAACATAACTCTATGTCTGCACTATCGATGCATTTTAACAATCCCGGGATTTTGGTATGTAAAAATTCTAAACCCGGGATCCCGAATTTTTTCGGGATTTCGACTTCATCACAACTTTTTACATTTTACAGTAGGTTCGCCTTTTCAAACCACACAAATTCATTGTCACGACATTTGGTCTTAGGGGGGCATAATGACCCTTAGTAAAAGAATATGTAATTTGATGTTTAAATATTTTTATTCTAAAATATCTATACTTGTCAAAAACATTTACTCATATTTAAAGAAATCCTTTTCCAAAAAGGCCAACAAAAGTAAAACGACTAACAACACTACCACACTGTGAAAGCTTGTTGTGTTTTCAATTGCTACCAGATTTTTTGTTATTACACAGTTCTTGCACAAAATATTTGAACACGTACAGTTATTCGGGCCGATCCTGAAATTCACTTCCAAGTGCAAATGGCTCAAGTTTTCTTTGAATCCAAATTTTGGTGTTCTGTATTTTTCGTGTTTCATGTCAAATGAATTATTTTTTACGCTCTCAACATGTCTTTCATTCTGTAAATGAATCAGTAAAAATCTCGGGATCCCAGAGCTGTAATATCGCGACTTCGGGACATGGAAAAGTGTCCGGGATCTCGGAATCCCGGAAATGCCATAGTCTACACACTAAATCCAAAATAATCCATCTACTAGGCTGGAAATAATTATCGCAGAGCCAACGGTTGTAATCGCAGTCAAAACAATTCTACATTCCGCGCAAAGGACAAAAACTTCGAACCAGATAACAACTAGTGAATCTATAAGCTGCATATACTTTTATATTTGAAGGTTAATCGAAAAAATGCCAGATTTTTGATTTGTCCGTAAAAATATACAATCCGCCACCACTTTAACACCACACATTTTGAGTTTAGAAAATTTTTGTCAAAAATAAAAAAACCATAGCAGAGATGCATCTCCGTAAAGTGCCTCTGAAGATCGCTGTCATCCAGTTTGGCAATTGTGATTATTTTACGAAGCAGTGTTGAAAGCCGCCTCCAGAGAAAACTTCAATCTCCTTCATTGTATACGAAATCTCACACTTAACAACGTTCTGCAACGAAATTCCATACCATTATAGTATATATCGTCCCCTCAATATAACAATAGCGTATAATTTTTTTTGGGTTTTGAGAAAATTGAGTTTAAAGTTTTTGTCAAATCAGATGTCTATTAAATTTTTGAACAAGAAATTATACACCATTTTTTCTAATGACATTTTGACCCACTTTGCGGAAGTAGAATTTGACGAAATTTTGACCAGACATAGAATCAATGATGGAGATTCTAAATATGCAATAAAAAAATAATGGCGTATGAGCACATACGCTATTGTTATATTGAGGGGACGATATGACCTAAATATAAAATGCCTGCACCGAAAATTCAAAAATTTGCCCAATATTGTATTAATAAAATGTTAATTTTCGTCTTTATTTAATTGCAGATTTCCCAAATTGCTGTGCGCTCGATGCTCAATTGGTCCCCAGACTTTGTTAAACGGTGCGTATGAGCAACAATCTGCCGCATGCCGCATACTAATGCACAGCTGTTTGAAGGACACGAACAGGTCAATTGCGTTTATCTACAACATTTTCCAGAAGGTAGAAATAAAGTCACAAACTTAGTGGCGTTGGAATTTGCGTGAAATGCCGCAAAGAAACAATGACACAGATGCGATGGCTGGGCTAGTCGCGCTCACCACACTCAGCCAGCTAATGGCCGCTATGCGTGTGGAGCTGTTAGAGCTGTTGGCTTGTGAATTCATTAAAAATGCATGGCATGCAGCGGCGCCAACAGCCGTGGCGACAACGAATTCAACTAAACCAACTTTGAAGACGAAGTACTTAAAGAAAATGATAGCAACGGCAGGTTCTGTTTGTGGAATCGTTGATGTTAACTAAATTTGGTGGGTGGAAAAAAATAAGATCACAAATACCAAGTTAACAAGAAATCAGTAAACTTAACTCAATGTACTAGAAGCAACGAAATTAAGTCGGCAATAACTATTCGACAAAAGACATCTTCCACCTTTGAAGTTCGATTACAACTGAACTAAACAAATGAACCTGAAAACTCACTTAAATACATAAATTGCAGACTTGTTCAAAGTAATTTCTAAATGCCCACGCTGACAATTGTTTTAAAGCAACTCAAATGAAATGAATGTTAAATGCGTCATTTGTAATCAACGTTGGAATAAAGTGGGATTTCCATAGAAATGAAAAAAGTAGAAGTAGCAAAAATTAAAAGTAAGATTTCAAGCGGCACTACTAAAGAGCAGTCAGACACTACCAAAACCAACAACGAACATTATGGCGTGTAAAAAAAGAAATCCTAGAAAAAATACGAAGTAACCGAATGCCTAAATACGGCTGCCAAAGCTATTAAAATCTAACCAACAAATAATAAAAAAGCAAAAAAAAAAACTTAAATTATCTAACGAAAATTGCTAAAA